GGAATATAATAAAAAAGTCAAACGAAAATCGAATAACAAACACGCAGATTAATTTATAACATGCAGGCGCCTAGAATACATTAATGTGCATCGACTCTGCATGATTAGATGTGAAATAATTGTAGAAATTTTAGATTGTTGGAGATTTTATTTTATTGCTTCAAGAAACACTGAAATTTAGATCGATGCGTGGACATCATCAGAATTTAATAACTACTTGTCTTGAATTTAATGTTATTGCGTGTCTTTTTGTTTAACAATTGTATTTCACATCCCTAGAGTTTCATGTTTATCTCAATTACATTCAATTTTACTCCACATTTATAATAGTGGTGAACATAGATAGGAATTTGGAATTCCCGAATTTCGGGGTATGGTAATAAATTTACACATTCTTCTTCAAGCAGCGATTACAAATCGGAGATACACTATATCGACATATGATAACGAGAAGTATGACTAGAATATATGAAGTATAGTATTCAACTGTCCATTGTACTTCCCGTTTCTCTTTTATTGTAATATGTTTTATTTTGGCATTAATAAAACATGCCACCAATAGTGGTTATTTTCCAAAAAAAAAAAAAAAGGCTACAATCTATCGAATGTGATATGTCCCGCGAGCATTTCATCTCCAAAAATTCTCATCACAAGTGGTGGTGGACAGTGGCGGAGGCAAGTGAGGGCCAGTAGGTTCCCATGCCCCAACTAAAATTTGGAAAAAAAAAAAAAATAATAATAATAATATATACACACGAATTTGTTTATGTATATTTATGTTTGAAAAAAATAAAATCGATCGGTATTAGAGAGTGCGAAACAAAAATCTCACTGAAGATTTAAAACTTAGATTTTCGAATGGTCGATATCACGTAATATCTCGATAAATTCAGATGACATATATATGTCCAAGTGAGGAAGTACCATTTTTTGGGTTTTTCAATCGTTTCACTATTGACAACATTACTAAAGAGCCTTTAAGAAAATGACCAAACGAATGTACATATTTCCAAAACAAGAAAAATGCCAAGTTATAGTATATGTATGTATTCTCAGATTCTTATCCTAGTTTACTATATGTCAATTCTTGAACAGTTCATATTCGATATTCCCCCTTTAATTTTCTCAATAAATAAATAAATAAATAATGATTATAATCTACGTCGAACCAACTTATTTGAAATTTTAAATTCGTAAAAGATTACGTTACGTATAGCTTAGAACAACAAAATTTGCAAGGGTTACATCGAAACCGACCGTAAACTCGAGAACTAAAAATGTAAAAGAATCCTTTTACATATTTAATCATATCCAAGGAGACATTCCAAATCATCAATAATGTTGTTTGAAGGGCAAAAAAGTGGTCATCAAACATTCCAAATCACTTATAATAATGAAGAGTCTCCAACAATCCAACACTTCATGCAATTATTAATTAATTAATTAATATAACTTATAAGTGAATCTATTCGAGGAAAAAAGGGAAGAAGATTTGTCTCCATAAGTATGCATTATGATATAAATAGTTTTAGACGAGATTTAATAATTCAAGATTCCGTACAAAAAAATTTTACAAGCCTCTTTTAAAGTGGACGCAGAAAAAGGATAGATCGAGTACGCTGAACTAAAATAAGTATGAGAATACAAGTAGATGAAATGTAACTTGTACACTCGATATTTTAAGTGTAGTTAATATAAGAAAAATTTAGAGTTTAATTAATTGAAAAATAATTTAATTGATGTATGAGACAAAATAAGATTGGAAAGGATGGGAAGTGCAGAGATTCCAGTTGATTAATGGAGGAAAGGGATGGGGCATTCCTACACTTTGTTATCTCTTGACCAATGCCTTTTCTTCCACTCTTCTATGCCGCGCATCAAACTTCAGTAAATAATATACGTCTGTCGGGGGCGCGGGAAAGCAGTTGCGGCGGAAGCGTAAGAAAAAATAAACATAGAATCGACAAACTCATTGAGTAAGAGCATCAAGAATGAATAAGTAGAATGGGAAAGATTTCGAAATTCTTAAGATCCATGTCGATATTCTTTGAAATTTACAACATTGCAATTACCGGACTCTAAAAGTTCGATATTGCTATTTATTGTCACTAACTGATCCCCATGTCATGAATTGATAATTTGGCTGGTTCGCTACCTGCCTTGGATGTGGTAGCCGTTTCACGGGTTTCTCTTTAAAATCGAACCCTAATTCTTCGTCACCACCTTAATAGGACACTGTCTTACAATCGAAAGTTGATAGGACAAAAAATTGAATGATGCATCGTCGGCACAAGGGCCATGTTATCCATCGAATTATTTTTTGGGTTTTGTTGCGTCATGCATATATATAATTGTATCTGTGAAATTTTATAATGAGTACAAAATCCAACGTAACTTCCTCCATCACTATCATTTATTAAATACGAACCTCATTTAATTCCCGTCCAAGAACACTTCATTTCTTACATCATTGGCTCAGAATTTGTCCCCAACTTTCCCCTTTTTCACTACCAGTCGTACATTCATGTACAACACACAATACACACACGTATATATACATAAACATGTATGTACTAAGTATGTGAAGACAATGAAAAATATAAATGCTGTCTTCTATCATAAACAGAACAGCTGCATAATCTTCACTGCTTACAACAGTACAGTTTCTTGTTAATGAACGGTCAAATACTGTTTATGTCCTGTCAAACCTCATTCAAGCCATGTCTAGTTCATTTAACTCGTATTTCACGCGGCACAAAAGGAGGAAGATTTTATGAAAAAATGGAGAGAATTTATATATATATATAAAAGAAAACAACTCAATGCCATTAAAGAAAATTGACACGCTACAAAATTATTTCTATTGACGTCGATCCCACTTTTTCATAAAATTTTCTTTTTTCTATACCGCATCAAATACTGTATTTTAAATATGCGTTCAAGATTGTATAGTCTATCGTACCAGGCCGGAGATTAGAGTCGAGCTTTTTTGGTCATCATGCATTAATGTCACACAGTGACTCTGTGGGTCAATTGACTGATAAAAAAGTAAAGTCATTGATATTAAGCATCAGTTTCTAATGATGTAAAATATTTCCAACTGCATGATGCAGTATTTATTGTAGCAAAAAATAGAAGAAGTTACCATAGGACTGATAAAAGTACTCTGGGGAATTCGACTACTCTTTATAACTACTGTCACAAATTTGTACCCATCATACGTCAGTCATTCAGATGATAAATTATTAACTGTATATGTGAAGTACAAACTCAGAAGAGTCTCTGTATTTATTCACTAGCATTTTTCCTTGGAATTCCAGAGTTTACTTGAAGAGATTATTTGAAGTGAAAAATGATTATTTTTAGTAGAATGTATGGTAAAAAATGAGTTTAATGAAAAATAATTTTTATATAAGTTGTGCAAAACAAACTCTCAATTGAATAATTTTTGGGATGGCCAGTTTAGCGTCTTATCGAGCGTAGCTTTGACATTATCATTCGTGTCTTCAAATATGATATGTTAATCAGGTCGGAGTTAGTTTAACTTTTGTCACCGCCGTGCATATATGTAATCTTTAATTAAAAAATAAAACTCAATCTATACGTGAGGGAGTTAAAGACTAAATTTTAAACGGGGTGGTTCGAACTTCAGTAACAAGAAGAATTATTAAGTACTGATAATACTTAGTATGTATCAGGTGTACATTAGCTGATAGAGAGCTTTCTTTGGTCAATAAATTTTTTTTACATATTTATGAGATTAACAAAATCATGTGATTTACTTTTTATATTGTTCTTGCCATTTATATAGCATATACTACTATATATCGTATTTAATGCATTTATGAACTGTGAAATGTGTGTACCCTGTTGACATTGACTAGTTTTGACAATATATTGAAGATTAGCATAAGGTGGAAATTAATATGGTTCGTATTAATAAAGAAGAGCTCATCGATCCATGAAAACCCTAATTCTAGCTAGATCGATTGAGTGATGAAACAATTTTCCTTTTATAAATATCTTACGAGATCATAAAAGTGTGAACTTAAACGTTAAAAGGTCATCAATTGGAGACAACCTTAGCGCACTTGTTTTGCCCCCAAATTCAAACAAAATGGTGGGCTCCTAGTACCCTAACATATACAAATAGAAAGAAAAAACCTAATATTTTTTTCTTGAAAATGTATACCTGCATGACTAAGAGCATGATTGAATAAAGTTTATTTAGGACAATGCTAAAAGAAAGTTTAAATTCAAACACACACACACATGAGTGTGTGTAAATAAGGGTTATTAAATACTGAATTTAGGAGGGAGCAGAAATTTTTTCCTTGGACTGAATTGAGTGGTAAAGTGTCAGAATGAATTAATGGCAGAAAACTAAAGAGCTTACAGTTGGAAGAAAGATATGGGTTTTTCAAATTAATGGAGTCTCTCTGCAGAGGATCTACTCATAATGTTTGTGGAATTATAAGGTTTGGTCCTTCTGATAACTCATAATTGACTAGCTCAGGATTAAAAAGCACAGCAACCACTATAGAGTAGTTGTTTTGAATACAAAATTTTGAAAATAGACTTACAAAATGGGACAGCAAAAACTGTGGGCCCCCTAAATCATTTTAGTAAATTTTAATTAACATCACATTGTTAAAAGTATATCCTAGTTAAGTTAAAAATGAACAATATATAAGGACTTGAAACGTCGAACTTTAATAAAGTATGAGCGTTCGTTGAATTCAAATGAGTATTTCAATCCAATCAAAAGCTCACGTATTTCAAGATTAGTATTCAGACGACCCACCATCTTTCGGGACAATTTTAGAGTAATATCCTTGTATGAGAGAGAGAGAGAGAGAGAGAGAGGGGGAGAGAGAGAGAGAGATTTGTCACAATATAAAGGGAGTAAAGAGGTGTTGGGGGTTTTACTTGTTAGGAATCTAGGAATCATCAGAGGGACTAAAATCAATTCAAACTGAAGGAAAAAGGGCTAAAGAATAATGGAAGAACAGCTCAATTCTTTAGCTGTTACTCATCTTCTTCAACACACTCTAAGGAGCTTATGCATTCATGAAAACTCCCAATGGGTTTATGCAGTTTTTTGGAGGATCTTACCAAGAAATTATCCACCTCCAAAGTAAAAAAATACTGCTCGATTTCTGTTCTTGCATATTATGAAATAATCGAAAAGTTTTCATTTAAATCTTCGGAGAAACGCAGTGAGATCCAATGCAATATGTAAGATTCATCTTCTTTTTCTGTTTTTTCTCATAGGTGGGATAGCCAAGGAGGTGTATATGACAGATCAAGAGGAAACAGGAGGAACTGGTATTATTTAAATAAGTGGGGTTAGATTTATTTATATGTTAAATTATGCAAACTCACTTATTTTTATTGATTTATTTGTACTTGTATATCTGATATTCAGGATATTGGTTTGGGAAGATGGTTTCTGCAATTTTGCTGCTTCAACAGCTGAGATTAATCCTAGTGAATGCCCGGCCGGCTCGTCGGTTTACGAGTATCAACACTATCAGGGACTGCAGCCTGAGCTCTTCTTCAAGATGTCCCACGAAATCTACAACTATGGTGAAGGGTAAGGAGAAATTAGAGAAACCCATTTTTATTTGATGATTTCAGAGAATGACATAAACAAGCTGATCTTTTCTTATCTTTTTTAAGTTTAATTGGAAAAGTTGCAGCAGATCATAGCCATAAATGGATCTACAAAGAACCAAATGATCAAGAAATTAACTTCTTATCTGCATGGCATAACTCAGCTGATTCTGTAAGCAATTATTCCTTTGAATTCTTGTTAGTTCATCTCTTTAGTCTATGATTTCATGTTGCAAGAAATAAGAATCTATCCTTCTTTTTATATATTTCTCAGTAGGTTAATTAATATTTACTTATTTCTTTAATTAACAGTATCCCAGGACTTGGGAAGCTCAGTTCCAGTCTGGTATAAAGGTATAACATCAAAGAAACATCACACGAAAACACGTTTGGGACACTGTACATTGGACAATAGTTGTTTTTAACTTGTTTGGTACACTGTACATTGGACAATATAATGACTTATATTAATCAAAATTGAATTACATTACAGACTATTGCCTTGATTGCTGTTAGAGAAGGTGTTATTCAGCTAGGAGCTGTTCATAAGGTCCTCTTTTTCTCTCTCACTCTCGAAGTGCGCACACACAAAGAAGTTTAAATTTTGTCTATATGTTGAGTCGTACATTCTCTAAATGACTCATTTTTTCGTGATGTGAACTGGATATATATGAAGGTTATTGAGGACCTGAGCTATGTTGTGTTACTCAGAAAGAAGTTCAGTTACATTGAAAGCATTCCAGGGGTTCTTTTGCCACATCCATCCTCTGCAGCATACTCCAATACACCAGAAGCATTTCATTATCAAAACAACATGATACCCCCTACTGAATTCTACAATCATTTTAATCAGCCAATGAAAATCACCCCTTCAATGAACAGCCTAGAAGCACTTCTCTCCAAACTACCTTCTGTTATCCCGGTATCATCTCCACCGGTTTCTGGTTATTACGAACCTCAAGCTCAACATTTAGCCTCGACTAGGCCTATCGAGCTAATGGGAGTCGATAAAGTGGCTAAGGAAGAGTTGGACGAGGAAGAAGGAAATGAGAAGGATGTTGGAGAGACGAGCAATTCTGCGCTGCCTTATCATCACCATATGCATTTTGCTTATCATCATGACCTAAATTTAAGTAGTAGCCTGCACAACAATGGATGTTAATTGAGGTTTCGATGATGATGACGATTCTAAAGTTGTAGCATTTGATCAGAATGTTTCTTCATGGCTTTCTTTAGTAGAATAATGAAGCGTTTAGTTAGCTGTGGAATGTTAAATTCATATCAATGGAGAGTGTATCTATCTTTTTACATTTGCCAAATGTCTATAGGTTTTTCCTGTTTTGCTATTTCTTCCTTGCATCACTTGGATGTCTGTCTGTCTGTCTAAGCTTAAAAATGTAACTTATTTTCTTGAAAAAAAGTGAATAAGAAAGTTACTTTTTGAGATTAGGTACAAATTATTTCAACATAAATAAATTATCGAAACTTACTAATGTTCATTAATTCCTTCCGTTCAAAATTGGATTTTATATTTGTTGACTTCCAACACATCAAAAATGAACTCTTAACATAGTGGGTAAGAGTTATCTTACCCATATCAACGGTCAATCTTACGATTTTTGACAATTCATTGTTAACAAGCATACAATTTTTGATAATTCAACAATGAATTGTCGAGCACTGTAAGTTTGACCACTGATGTGGGGGCAAGCTGCCCAACCCATTCCATTAATTATGTAACAACAAAATAAGTCTTGCTTTCAACAAATAATGAAGTTTTTCAAAACAAAGATTCCTTGTACAATTTTAAGTCTTGATAAGACATCATCGTCATCACAATAATAATAATCTCCTAAAAATTTCGTGAATTATAAGTTCCTCGTTAATAATTTACGAGATCATCAATTATTAACACCTTAGAAATAAATATAAAAAAAAAACACGACTTATTTTGTCTACAATCTTGTCAAGTCTAACATGCCATCAACACGATTATAAATATTTGCGAGTGCAAATAATTTTGTCAAATAAATGGAATTTGTTTACAATTTGTATAATTTTTCCCTACTTCCCGACAAAATTTGGAAAAATTTGTGTGAAAAAATCAAAAACCTGTTAAGTCGATCAACAGCAGACTATAGGCCGGCAGCTGCCCCAGTTTGGGCTCCATTAAAATAATTTTTTCGAGAAAATTGTACTTTAAAATAGTGGTTTTTTTTGAGAAATTGTAGTTAAAAAATAAGGAAAAATATAATATAATATTATTTTATTGAGAAAATGCATTAAAATTAAAATGAAAGCCAAACGAGGGCTTAATATACTCCAGATCCAATTGAAAATATATAATACAAATATGCATTTTAATTCACACTAAAAAATCTAGCACAAATGAGGCTTACAGAACCAAAAATAAAAACTTCACAACAACGGGAAATTTTCCATAACCTCTTATATGGGCATGTTCAATAAAAACAATATTTGATAGGACGATTTGAAAGTACAACGGACAAGATTTTTTAATTCATTTTTCTTCTTAAGTATTATCCAATCCAACTAACGTGTCTCATAAGTAAAATTTGAGTTTCACAATCTCTAACTTGAATTTCTCTTTTAACACAATGTACATGAACTACTACCCCTTAGAGGGGGAAAGAAGAAGCAAAGAGGCATCCGAGTGTTACTAGCTGAAGCCACTCGAATTCCCAATTGCTACAAGCCGGACTACCAAAACAATATGATAAATTTGCCTAAAATTGGAAAGAACGATCATATGCCCCTCTTGTCAGAAAAAATGAGAGCTCGTACTTCATCAACAGCCATTCGACCTCACAAGTCAGGTGGGAAGTTCTTGATTTGCCCTTCCTCTAAAATATCTTTGTCATTCATCTTGTAACCTATCCGTATGCGCATGACTAGGGATTTCTGGAATAAACGAATAATTTCTTAATTTACAAAAACTTAAAAATGAAAAGGGAACTAAGATAATTTGGAGAGAGACAGAATTGCTGAGATGAATTGCAACAAGATAAAAGAAAATACAAATCCATGTACCTTGCCGTGCTGGCTATTTGTCACTCTTAATTTCTGCGTAATTGATCCGTTACCGCTGGCAGAAAGAGTATCACTGCTGGCTGGATCCAAGTGCAGTTGAATAAACTGTGGATCAAATGCAAAAATTATTTGATGACAGCATTGAAATGGGAGCTAAGAAATACTTGGAGCATAATTCGACTATCCATATGATAAGTCATATTTTATTGCCATTGCATAAAAGAGACGAGCAAAATAGAGGGAGAATACCAATTGTTTTAACAGTCGGCTTATTTTCTAAAGAGCTTCTCATAAATAAGATGAATGCAGGACAATAAGAACATGAAAGTACACATAAATTGAGAAACCATGATACCAGTTTATGTAAGATCATAAAAAAGTGAAAGGGTGCATGCATTGAAAATAAGATATTAAGAAAAAGATGTAGTGAGCAGAAAAGGAGAAGATGCAGAACCTATCAAAAGAAAAGGTAAAAGGTGATTGCATTATACCTTGGGGACCGCTGCCTGGAATGTAAAATTTGAATAGATATTAGGTGATTTGTTAAAAAATTGTGCCTCAATAAGTGTGGCCTGTGGGTTTTCAGGCTGCTTTGAGAAGTTGAATGTAATTCTCAAGGAGCTGCTCTCGAATGCAACGATTGATGGAAGGGTCAGGCCATTCTTTTCAGCAACTGAAAGCAAGGGTATCAAAATATCATGAACAAGTTAACCACGCCAACTAGATACATACTTTGATGAAACATACCAGGCACTGATGAACTGGCTGCAAACCCATCCAACAAATCCATCATAGAACTTCCAACAGCAGAAGAAGCTTGTGCTGAAAGCGCAGGAGGGGAGGTCAATGTGTCTAACATGTCCAGCGAATTTGTATTATCCTGATTGGGTGAAAACATATTGGGCATGGATGGACTACTTTGAGCTGGAGGTGTTCCAATTGACAAAAGATCCAGTAGGACATCGTTACTGCTCTTCTGGGTCTGATTGGTTCCTGAAATGTTTAAAAGAAAAAGAGTGATTAAAAATAGGGAAGAATAATCGATATCAAGATATCTCGTTTTATTCCCAAAATATAAATTATCCAGTGTAGCTATAACTTTCAAATCACAGTATATGATCTAACAGAGAACAGCCATCTATCTACTTATATTATCAAAACGAACCAATACTTTTGTTGTCTCCTTGTGACATGGATGACTAATGTCTCATTACGTGCCATATGGCAATGACATGTAAACCAAACCGGTCATGTATGTTCAAATCTCACTTCTTAGTTATGCAGGAATTGCTTGAGAAGCTTCTATAGAGGAGGAAGTATTAGAGATCAGTATCATTTGAGACATGAATTTTAATGAGGCTTTCAAATAGTACAGCTGAAATATATAACTGCAAAAACTAATTTTTGTTTCACATCCGTGCATAAGCAAAATCAACCTGGACGTGATAAAGCTGGTGAATGATCAACACCTAGAAGATCCTGAAGAAAATCTCCACCAGAAGATCTAGGCTCTGTAACATCATCCGAAGTAAGATCAAGCAAATCAACGAGAGGAGATGAAGTGTGTTTAGAAACTCCATTTGGAAGGTTTAATGGAGCTCCTTGTGAAGTTGAAACCGCAGCTGGCACAGAACCAGCCCTTCTGCTGCTATAGGTTGCCTCATCAAGGGCTGGCATCCTTTCAACCAGTGCAGACCTGAACAAAAGCAACACAGAAGCTTATTACAATCATACTCGAAACAATTCCGGACAAATTTTCTGAGAAGAGGCAAGTGAAGCAGAAGAAATAGCTTCCACACCTGATGTTATGATGCTTCTCAATGATAGAATTAAACTCAATGGCTCGCTGTTGCAGTTCAAGCACAAGGCTTCCTTTATAATGAAGGACGATATTATTTATTCTCCTGTAATACATGATATTTGCATAATTTCAGACTCAGTTAAGGAAATTAAAGAACTTACCAAGTTACCATTATAAAAAAATAAACAAGTATGCATTCAGGTCTATACAGTAATAATCACATTATATTTACTAAAAGAAGGTAGAACCAAAAAGATGTAGAATTCTGACAAAAAATGAATATTAATATATAAGATCTGTAACATGACAAGGTCAGGAAAACAAATCATGAAAGAGATAAAATGTAAATATATAAAAATATGACTAGGTTTGTGACTACTACACTCACTCTACAAGTTGGCAACCAAGTGGACATATGTACAGTAAATCAGTATTTTCCAAGAAAAGCAATGACAACATACTGTGAACAGGATGAAAAACGACTTGACAGCTTTAACAGTGCAATCAGACACATTGACCGGGTCGGGAGATCCAAATGGCGTCTAATAGCAGTTTCAACAACATCCACAGCTTCAGACTCAGTTACCTGCTCCAGACAACAAATTCATGAAAGATGCCCAAGAAAATGAGGGACACTGAAGCACAAAAAAAGTCACTGGGTGAGGTGCTCATAGAAGTGATGGCGCTGTCAATGATATTTAATTGTTAGTCCCAAGCACCCAAATTTTGATAAAGGTGAAGTGTACATTTGTGATAAACTATTGAGATAAAGTACATATGGCTCTTTGGCATAAAATAAATAAATAAATCTTGCAACTGAATAGATATCAGGCAATTTCACAATCATTCATCAGATAACCATTTTCTTCATTTCTCTCTCTTCAATTCATGGAAAGAAAGGGGCAATTTCATGGTTATACAGATGTGCGCATCATTCATACTTTCAGTGAAAGTTTGATTATGAAAACTATTTGAAATGAACTCTTAAAGAAGCATGAACTCACAGTTATTGGATTTTCCCCAGCAAGCATTCCTGCATTATTAACCAACATCTCACCATATTCTCCAATGCACCAAACAGCAACTCGAACAAGAGTTTCCTTGCGAAAACAAGTTGGCAGTGTACACGTATAAGCACAAAAATAAACCAAATCATATACAGCTCCTACTCTAGGCTTTAATTGCAAGGTAAGAAGAGGTGCAGCAATAAGTTACCTGTTCACCTGCAGTTTGTACAGCTCTATACAGTAACCTAACAGTATATCCATGGAGGTCAGAAGCATTTGTGATCACAACAATAAGGGCATGCC